ATGGCTCTGTTTCCCACCAGGGCTGGAGTTTAAAGTTGTACATACTGCTCAAGCAACCCTGACCTCCTCCTTCAAGGGTCATTTCCACCTCCGCCCCCCAAGTAGCTAGGCTGACGGTTCATGCACCCCCTGGTAAAGATTTGTTTTTTCTTGGTCAGAGGATGAGGTCTTACTCTATTGCCCCCTGGGTTGAACTCCTGAGCCAAGCGATCTCCTTCATTGCTCCCAACTATTTGGGATATACAGGCCATGAGCCCCTGTGCTGGCTGAAGACTTGGTTTCTAACAGGGCTTACAGGAGTGGGCTGCTGCTTGGTCCTTGGCCCACACTTTGAGAACCAGCACCCCAGACAAAGCACACAGCTCTCCTGCTGCCTGTGAAGAAGGTACTCCCCTTCTGTGTGTGAGGAAGAAAAAGTTTTTTGGTTGCCTGGTTGATTTTCCCAAGTGTCCTAATTGATTAGAAACTGAGAGAATGACACCTGAGCATAGGCTTTCAAGTTCAGGAAGTCAGGCGAAGATGCCTAGGTAATGTCAGAGCCAGTGGTGCTAAGACGAGTGGTGGAATCTAGCTTCAGCATCTTTGACCACTGGCACCACTCAGCCTAAAGTTCCCACTCACTACTTTGAGGAAAGTAACATTAGCAGTTGGAAATATGAAGCTTTGTCCTGAACCAAAAGAAACTAATGCAAGAGAATGAGACAGAAAGAGTGTTTCTTCAGAAGACCCACGTCAACTATTCTTTGTGAGTGAGCGATTGGAACTCTCACTTCCTCATCTTAAATGAAAGTGGGCTGGGCATGGTGGCTCATGCCTTTAACACCAGCACTTTGGGAGGCAAGGTGGGAGGATCACTTGAGCTCGGGTGTTCAAGACCAGCTTGGGCAACACAGAAAGACCTCATCGCTTCTAACAAAAATAACAATTGGCCAGGAGCGGTGGCTGACGCCTGTAATTCCAGCACTTAGGGAGACCTAAGGGAGTGGATCACGAGGTCAGGAGATCAAGACATCCTGGCTAACGTGGTGAAACCCTGTCTCTACTAAAAATACAAAAAATTATTCAGGCGTGGTGATGTGTGCCTGTAATCCCAGCTAGTCAGAAGGCTGAGGCAGGAGAATCGCTTGAACGCGGGAGGCAGAGGTTGCAGTGAGCTGAGATCGCGCCATTGCACTCCAGCCTGGGCGACACAGCGAGACTCTGTTTCAAAACAAAACAAAAAACAATTATCCAGGTATGGTGGCACATGTCTGTAGTCTCAGCTACTTGGGAGGCTGAGATGGGAGGATCACTCGAGCCTGGGAGGTGGAGGCTGCTGTGAGTCATGTTTGTGCCACTGCACTCCAGGCTGGGTAACAAAGGGAGACCTTGTCTCAAAAAACAAACAAAAACTCCAGTCTGGGAAACAGAGTGAGACCTTGTCTCAAAACAAACAAACCAATAAACGAAAAAGCAAAATGAAAGTGAAATGCTGTTTCTGGGTTTGTGCATGTTGATGAGAATGTGGGTTTTTGTTTTTTTTCTGAGAGCAAAAAAGGAAATGTGGCATTAAACATGGAGGAAATCATTGCTTGTCTCTCAGCTGTCCTAACACTGGAATATGTTAGAATTTCTGGGAATCTGTGGCAGGGCAGAATTCCATCTGATTAAAATGGAATGGACAAGGCCAGCTGACATCTCAAAGTGCTGTCTGAGCAGCTGAGCTTCCAAAGACTAATTGCTAAAAAGACTAGGTCGAGTTACTGTATCCAAAACAGCTGGCTCTTCCTAATTGCACTGAGGTTAAGAAAAGGCCTCCTGCAGCTTTGCTCAGTTGGCAGGCAGACAGTTTCCCATGATTCCAGCTTAGCACCAGTTAGAAAATTACAGGGGGAAAAAGGTCCCTAACAGTAAGATTGCCAAGTAAATCTGGAGTTTCCTTCTGGTAATGGTTTTGATTTTTCACAACCTAAGAGGGAATCTACAAGTTGCCCTTTGTCAGCCCCTTCCTTTGTAGCCCCCATCTCCATACGATTGTGGGGCAGTTAACTAGTGGGGCTGTAAGGTTTCATTCCCATTAGTCAAGCTCGTCATAGAATAAATAACCAATTGATTTACGGTTACCTGGATCCTGATTAGAGTCTGGAACATTCCTTTTTTCCTTCTTTCTCCTTTTTTTGGTTTTTTTACAGGTAATTTGTGATCTCTCTTAATAGCACAGGATCATTGTAGCAGAAACAGACTCTAAATGAGGCGCTTAGAAGACTGGTCTTTGTTTTGAGTCTGTTGCCAATAGGAGTTAAAGAGTCTCTGGTCCTCTCGGCCATTCATCTCCCCACCTGTAAAACGAGAGGCCTGTACAAGGCATCTCACAGGACA